AATGTTCAGGATGAATTCGGGAGTAGATTTAACCATATTGCCCGGCAGCAACCATTGCTTCAGCAAGAGGGACAAACAGCTGGATATCTGCAACATAGACACGAGGTATTGGCTGTTATTATTTCAGCCCCTGCATTTTTCGTCTGCTAGTTGCTTCTGGTCACAGTTATTGAATCATAAATTTTTTACTTAGCTATCAACTAATGCTGATTTGTTTAACCTATATTATGACTGCAAACCAATGTGTTGTTATAAGCTGTCTAGTAGTAAAGATTACGAAGTATTTATAATGTTTACCGAGATAAACAAATCATCTCAACATTGCTCAATATAATTGGGCTCATAATCTGAAAGATATATTGGGTTTCTTCTAATGATCCAGACAGCTATGTTGTCATGGCCTTTCTGAACTTTTATCAGATATCAAATGCACCTCTTTAGATGTAGACTATGTAAATTTGTCTCAAGATGCTAAAAATTCTATTTCTAAAGCTGAAGGAACATTTGATTATTCTTATCTAAATTAACATCATTAATCGTATTGGTGCAGCTATTGGAGATGGAGAAGAAACGTCAGAAGCTAAGAATGCTGGAGACTTTCCGTGATCTTGAAAACCCTAAGCTCTTAGGGTTATGTGAAACCCTCTTTCCAAACAATGTACAAACTGTCTGGAATGGAGCCAACTCACTGGTGCAATGCCAAAGAACATGCCACAGAAGAGACATTCACGAGGCTGTTGCATCATTCATGAATCCTCCCTGCAAATCTGCCTCCTTTCTGCAGTAATTGTCTAGTAGATATACAATCATCTCCAGTATGAGATATTCGTTCCAGCATTTCATCTGTATGATGACACAAGCTACTCGAATTTCATGCTCGCTGCAATGCCGAAACATAGAAATAAAGGTTGATACACAACGGGAGATTCTTGAACGTCAATTCTGCTATGCAATTTTAACTAGGATTACTGATGTACTATCCTTAGAGAGCTAGATTGCATTAAATTCTGTCACTAATTAGTGATCATAACAGAACATCTTGACATCATGATTTGTAAGTGGCAAAATTTTATGCAATATATGGGCAGTTTCTCATTGTCCTGAACCTCTATTCTCGAGAAGGCTTCATTATATCAACTACGCATAAAACAAAAGTCCTGTTTATGAAGCCAGCTTTAGACTATAGTTTAACATGTTTCTAACGACTATCTAAGGGAATGTCTCAGGCTCTAGCAACTAGAGTCCTTGAGGCCTCTAGTAATTGGCAGTTTTTGTCACTCTTTTGGTATATCAACAATACCTATTTTAATACCAACTAGCTAGCTCAATATTAGTATGCGAAAAATAGAATTTTTAAGTCGATTTAAATTCACTTGTTTCTTAATTCATATTTTAAGCGGTAGTAATTATCACTATTCTACTAGTTATATATCAAAATAAATTAACATTCAAGTTAAATATCCACCATGCTTCGCAACGTTAATTGTTTAAATAGAGTTTTGACCAATACCTGAACTTAGTCGACAATGGAACCTCCAGCGTTTTGAGCTTTCGGCTTTGCCAAGTTAGCTAACCCCAACCTTGTCTTCCTTAGAAAAGGCACATCACAGATTTAATTCGTTTCCTACCTTACTCCATAGTCTCTAATCAAACAATCTCTATTGTGTTTATGATGAACCTTTTAAACAGAAAAATAACTCCTTTGATATATAATGTTTAAGAGGATAACTTTCCCTCCTGAAAGAAACTTTTATTTAATTTGGAAAGATTACAACACTCATATATTACAACACACTAGCTAAAAGCTTAAATAGACAGGACAAGAACTAGAGTTTTTCTCTATTTTAATAGAGTTTAAAACCAATCTTTCTCTTTAAGTGAGGATTTTCTCTAAAGGATTGTTTATGATTTCAAAAAGACAATGAAACTCTCTTCAAGCCTGCCTCTCTCTTGTTGCCTACAATCCTTTATATAGTAAAGTATTCTTTCCTTTTACCGACACTCATGATTTAGCAAATGCATATCAGCCACTTCTTTGTACAAAGTTGTTTTTTTAAAAGATATACAAAACACTAATATTTAAAAGGAAAAAAAAAAATTGATTTTATTAATCCCAACTTTATTCGATTTATTTTAACAATCCTAACTTTAATTATTATTTAATGATTTGAATTTTATACCTATTTGCTTTTAATGAGCCTTGACATGTTGATAACCGGTTCAATAGGTCAGTTTGCCACATGTCGCTTTCTAATTGGTCTAATTTTTATCGGTTTTTTTCACCATATACTCTTGAGTTTTTTGTTTATTAATCATATACCCCTAAACTTTTTTAAATTCATCATATACCACTGAGTTTTCACAAAAATACACCATATACCCTTGATGACTAATAATTGTTAACTTCGTCAGTCATTAAGGTTAATTATGGACACGAAACCACCCTAAATACATTCCCCTACCCCCGAAACCACCCACATTCCTTTTTTCCTCCCTCAAAACCACCCAAAATTTTCTTTTCTCATCCTAAAAATCAATCATACGGATATGGTTATTGAGATTTGAAGTAGTTTCGGGGGTTAGAGAAAGGAGAGGAGTGGTTTCGGGGATGGGGGAGAGATCTAAAATGGTTTCGTGCATAATTAACCAAATTCCACTTATCTTGTTGTCATTAGGGGTATATGGTGAATTTTTATAACAACTCAGGGGTATATGGTGATTTTGAAAAATTTCAGGGGTATATGGTGAATAAACAAAAAATTTAGGGGTATATGGTGAAAAATGTTTTTTTTTTTCCCTTGAATTTCTCCCCATCCCTTAACCTTTCTCTCTCCTTCCACCTGCCAGCCACCATCCCCTTCCCGCTGCACATCACTCGAACCACCGCCGATATTAGCTTCCCTCTCTTTGTCGTCTCACTAAACTCCCTTACAAAACCAACATTTGCCGCTACACAATACAAACCAATCAATCAAATCAACCCCCTGATTTTAATTTCTGATCAATTTTAAAAAAAAAAAAAACTAGGGTTTCTAAATAAAAAAAGCAATTACATATGGACTCAAAATTTCGAAAAAACAAAAGAAAGTAGGGGGAAGTGGTGGAGCAAAAAGGGAGGTGGTGGCTTGAATTTAAGGGGAAGGGGAAAAGGTAGGCGGGGGAGACATCAAGGAAGGGAAGGCTAGTTCAAGGAGGCGAGGAAAGAGAAGGAAGGAAGTGGGTTTTGGGGAACAGGGGAAGGGGTGGTGGCCGACAGCTAATCTAGCCATGGCCATTGAAGGAGAAAGAAAGAAGGGTGGTGTGTTGACTAGAGTAAAAGGAGAAGCCAAAAAAAAAAAAATATACCTACTCATTTCGAAGGTGTAGATACCTGATTGTGTATCCCCAAAAACCAAACCCAGTGATGAGTATATTTCATGTCTTTGATTAATGAGTTCGGTAAAGAGTTGAAGAGTCTCCTGAAGTTTCCTTAGACCTTGACCATATTTCTAACCTTACATAAATTGTTTTAACCCAAAATCGTTCATTTCGTTTATTTTAATCCAAAATCAATCATTTCGTGTCCTTAAAAATCATTCATGTCGTGTCCAAGTCATAAAATGTCCGAACTCCATCTTTGCAAGGCATGAGGGAGTACGATAACTCTCGTCGCCAAGCCCTTGGAACCATCACTATGAATATCACTGCAGGGGTCATTGAACATAGCACTACCTTTCAAGTGGTGCACATCAAGCCTTCGTTCGACCTACTGTTGGGACGCCCTTGGCTTCATGACCTAAAGGCCGTTCCTTCATCTCTCCATCAACAAGTAAAGGCTATAGTTGGAGGTATCCCTATCACTATCGATGCTTCCCCCATGAGGATCCACCTGGTGAACAATCTGATCATTCACGTGGAGCAGGATGAGCACGATGAAGATTTGTGGGGCTTTAATGCCGAAGAGGTCTCTTTTATCGCAAAAGATGAAAAGACCCCTCTTGACTACGACCCTCACTCAAATCTTGTCGTCAACGCTATTCTAAAGAGACAAGGACGCTTTCCTAGAATGACTCTAGGGAAGAAAAAGGAAAGAGCCAAATGCATGGGATTACCAAGCCTCCCTAAAAGGGATACTTTTGGACTTGGATTCGAGCCAACTCCAGAAGACCCTAAGTGAGCCTTGAACAAGTCCAATGCAAGAAGAAAAGCTCATAGCTAGAAAGATGCAATACCGATAGATCCTTACCCTATCACTTTGAATGGACAATTTGTAAAAGAGGGAGAAGATTACCCATGCTATGAATTTCCTAAACCACTTGTCAGAAAGGGGATACGCCAGCCTGGGTTAGAGATCTTCTTAGATTGCAACTTTCTGGATGGGATTCCCAATCCTACCTACAGGGAACATACACTTTGACTTCAATGTCATGAATCTCGTTTTGGGTACGAGACAAACAAGCCTGAGTGTGTTAACGACAACTCCACACTTGTGCAAACTACCTTACAAAGTGAAGACTTCGACCCCTACAAGCTCATTACTTCGGCGGAAGGACTACTCACTGGCGCAAGACCGTGAAAGTGATTGCACCAAGCGAAAAGAAGATATCCATAACTATGGGTGAAGGCCCTATGTTTGATGAGACTGAGTCGTCTGGGTCCGAGTCTGAGTCTGAGTCTGAGTCTTCTTTAGAGTCTTGTATCCTTGAGCCTTCTAAGTCTCTCGTTTTTGCACCTCCTACTATCGTTCCTACCATAGAATCTACCCCTAGGATGGTTAATAACCTGGTCCCCACAGACATTTCTCTTTTTGATGTAATGTTTAAAGAGTTTAATAATATGTCTTCTTCCGCTTACTTTTTGTGTTATTCCTTTACCCCTGATGATGATATTGCTTTGCTAATAATGAAAATGACAAAGAAATAATTAAAGCAATGAAAGCACTTGAGAATAAAACAACAATAATCGAAGAAACCAAAACTATTAATCTCTCAAAAGACCCCACCATTAAAAGAGAAGTTAAAATGGGATTGACTCTAAATCCAGACGAACGAGCTGAATTTATCGATGTTTTTGCTTGGTCATATGAAGATATGCTAGGTATAAGCAGACAAATTGTTCAACATATTATACCATTAATTCCGGGAATGAAACATGTAAAGAAAAAGTTGCGCCGAATGAAAACTGACGTAACACTTAAAATAAAAGACGAAAGCAAGAAACAATTGATTGTAGGTTTTATCAAAGTATCCAAAATGGGTTGCAAACGTGGTACCGGTTGCCAAGAAATATGGTTTAGTAAGAATGTGTGTTGACTACAAGGATCTCAACAAGGCAAGCCCAAAGAACGATTTCCCTCTACCTCACATCGACATCCTAGTAGATAATATAACAAATCATGCGCTTATCTCGTTCATGGATGGGTACACAGGTTACAATCAAATTCTCATGGCAGAAGAAGACATGGAGAAAACTACCTTCACAACACCATGGGGCACTTACTGCTACACGGTGATGCCATTCAGGTTGAAAAACGCGGGTACCTTATATCAAAGAGAAGCAACTGCCTTATTCCATGATATGATACATAAAGAAGTTAAGGTGTACGTGGACGATATTATTGTAAAATCCAATGATCTCCCAAGTCATCTAATAGCCTTGAGGTAGTTCTTCGAAAGACTCCGCAAATATAACTTGAGGCTAAATCAAGCCAAGTGTGCATTTGGAGTTACCTCAGGAAAACTTCTAGGCTATGTCATTAGCTCTAGAGGGATTGAAATAGACCCCGCCAAGATCAAGGCTATCATGTCCATGCCACCGCCCAAGACCGAAAAACAAATTCGAGGATTCATTGGTCGGTTGCAATACATAAGTAGGTTCATATTGAAACTTACCACAATATGTGAACCAATATTCAAGAAATTCAAGAAGAATGTACCAGTAGTATGGGACGATGAGTGTCAAGAAGCCTTTGAAAGGATCAAAGCGTATCTTGCGAATCCTCTTATACTAACACCGACACCATCAGACATTCCCCTTTGTCTATTCTTAATGGTCACCAAGGAAACAATGGGGGCTATGCTCGCCCAAGAAGTAGAAGGTAAAGAAAACGCCATATACTACTTAAGTAAGAAGATGCTTGAATATGAGGTTCGCTACACACCACTTGAAAAATTATGCCTCGCACTTGTGTGGGCCACAAAGAAGCTAAGGCATTACATGCTTGTTCACACAGTTGATGTGGTGTCTCGAATGGATCCCCTCAAATATCTCTTTGAGAAATCCACACTTAATGGAAGAATATCAAGATGGATAGTCACATTAGCCTAGTTTGATCTGAAATTTGTTCCCCAAAAAAGTACATTAAGGGATCCGCAGTTTCTGACTTCTTGGTTGACTTTCTACTTGAATACTCGATACTAGTACAAGAAAATGAGTTTTCGGATGAAGAGTTACTAGTCACTGAAGATGACACTTGGATACTATACTTCGACGGTGCATCAAATCAAAAAGGATGTGGCGTAGGAGTCCTACTAGTGTAAGCTAATGAAGAACACATCCCAATCTCAATAAAACTTGACTTCGATGTAACCAACAATGCTGCAGAATATGAAGCCTATGTAGTGGGTCTCGAAACAACATTAGCACTTGGAGTTAAAAAGCTTCGAATATTTGGAGACTCATCCCTCATCATCAATAAGATTTCCAAGAGATGGAAGGTGAGGAGTGAAAGTCTAGCTCCTTATCAAACTTACTTAGAAACTCTCACTGATCAACTCGATAAGGTAGAGTATACATATCTACCAAGAGAAGAGAACCAATTCGCATATGCCTTAGCAAGACTAGCCTCAATGGTTAGAATTTCTAAGGAAACCGAGAAAATGCTTCTAACCATAGAGAAAAGGCATAAGCCCACCTATGGCCAAGCCCTTAATGATGAATTTGAAGAAGAAGTCCAAGAGGATGAAGAAGAACCTTGGTGCATGGACATTCTCAACTATGTCACTAAAGGGGAATATCCACCTAAGAAGAGAGAAAAACGCGCTTTGAGACTCCTAGCTTCACAGTATGTACTCATCAATGGTGAACTCCATAAAAGAGTACCTAAAGGAAGAGCTCTCCTATGTGTAGGCAAAAAGGAGGCACAAAGGGTAATGAGGATCATCTGCGAAGGAGCATATGGAACACACATGAATGGCAAAATGCTAGTCTAGAAGGTCATGCGCCAGGGCTATTATTGGACTACCATGAAAAGAGATTGCTATCAATATGTTAAAAGGTGTACAAAATGCCAAATATATGCCAATTTGCAACATGTCCCACCTTCCCTCCTTTCCACTTACACATCTTCATGGCCATTCTAAACCTAGGGCATAGATATCATTGGGAAAATTACTCCACCTGGATTAGGAGGCCATAATACATCCTTGTCGCCATCAATTATTTCACCAAAAACCTAATTGCGTCTCCCCAAAAACAAAATCCAGTGATGAGTACCTTTCACGTATTTGATTAACAAATTCGGTAAAGAGTTGAAGTGTCTCGTGAAGTTTCCTTAGACCTTAGCCATATTTCTAACCTTACATAAAATGTTTTAACCCAAAATCGTTCATCTCATGTCTTTTTCCAAAATCATTCATTTTGTGTCCTTAAAAATCATTCATTTTGTGTCTAAGTCATAAAAACGTCAAAATAAGATAATTTTGGTCCATATTCCCAGTCCATTTAATTTTTAGTTGGATGGGGTTTAAAAAGAGCCTAGGTCCAACTTACCTACGATCCAATGATCATATGAGGGTCCAAATATCATATTATTAATCCTATACCAATTAGGACTCTTATAGAAGTCTCTAGAAGGTTCTAATTTATCTTTTAAAGATCAAAGAGTTAGAAATCGAATAAATGTCCTCTTTTGATAATCCTTGTTCTATTCGAATATGAAGACGTCCGAATATCTTCTGTAAATCTAATTCCAATAGAAATCAAACTTCTTACGGCTTTATTATCTTCGGAAACCATTGCAGAATGACAAAACCAATGCGACACGTCAGCTTTATCGCGCCGCGATGGAGACTGTCGCCCCGCGACAAAATCAATTCTATTTTATTTGGAACTTCTGATCTTTTCTGATCTTCCAGACTCTCTTTTTTCCCTATAAACAGAGGTTGTTTTCCCTATTTTCAAATCATCAACCGTCATAATCCTTAGCTCTAATCATCATTAATAGCCATCATAATTCTCGAAGCTCTTAATCACCTATGTTCTTAGCCTTAGCTTAAACACATCCTTGGTATTCTTCCAAATCAGTCATAATACCTCATTCACGAGATTCCAATATGATAGAGGGTTTTAAATATGTCGTTATATGCTTAATACTCTATCAACAAAATTTGTAAACACTCGAATAAACCTAAACAAGAGTATAGGGGTAAGTCAAGGGTCGGTCCACGAGGAATGGGGGAAAGGTTGCTAGAATCTAGGGTTAGGCTACTTTGAAGCTAAGAGAAGTGTTTGTTATGCAAGCTATGGTACCACTAGAGAAATGCAATATCAAAACATGGGATTAGGATCCACATGCAATCAAGATAGAAGTCAAACTAGGTTTCCTCTATGAATGACTAATCAAAGAGAATCACAATTCAAAATCAATCAATAAATGTAATCCCTAAATCAAGTGGTCATGTCATTAGGAACTACAATGCAATATTTCTTGGAAATAAAGGTTGATCACTCCTATCAAGCCAAACACATGCACAAATCCACTAATCAATTTAATTACAACATTCAATCAATCAAAATCCTCAAATTAGCAATTATCCATCATTCATGCATGCTTCCTCTTCACCCTAGCAAAGAATCTACTCACTAAGCATGTTGAATTTGAAGAACAAAGCTAAGTAAATCATAATCATCATCATGTTCTACTAATCAAGAAGAAGTTCAAAACAATCAAGCTACTAACCAAAAATCAAACAATCATTCATGAATCAAAGCAAAAATTAAAGCAATAAAGAAGAATTAAGGGAAGAAAATCTCACTAATTATCATTGAATGAAGAAAATCCAAGCTTGATTAAAGCAAATTTGAAGTAAAAATAAAGAATCCAAGTGTTTCTCTCTATACTTTCTCTCTCTAAAATCTAAGAACTAAAACAACTCTAATTAACTACATTTTGAAGAAAAAGGAGAAAAGCTATTTATAGTATAACTAACTACAAAGGAAATAGGGAAAATATCCCAAAATAGACCCAGTCGGGCGCTCCCTCTTACGAGCTTGCGCGCCCGCGATAATCAGGGTACTGAAACAGGATCCAGAGTGGCGCGCCCGCGCAGCCTGATGATTACCGTGGGGCGGCGCTGCTGTCGTGGCGTGGCATATATCGCCGTGGCGCGGCGCTTCCTGTCGTGACATGGCGGTTGCTATCGTGGCGCGGCGGTTCTTTACTTTGCGCACGCCCTGCTGGAGCAGAATTTCTCTTCGGTGCGTGCTTGATGCAGATGGTGCTCTCCTCATGATCAACACTAGATATGGCAGTCCCGAAATGATGTTTACGGTGGGTTCAACACCACGATTTTATGCAAGTGCAACATGAGAGCGCAAACACCAAATCTTGGAGCTAGCCATTCCTTGCCTTGTGAGCTATGCATGAGCTTCCACCTTGCACTTTGAACCTCTTTCAACCTGAAAAATCATCGTGATGGGTCTCGGGCTTCACCTTAAACCTACAAATCTAGAAAGTAGAGCAAAAAAAGGAGAAGACGTGCGAAAATCTACAAATATAGGAGCAAATACGAAATAGGCAAAGAAAAGACAAACTAAGGAACAAAAGATCAAAACTAAGAAAAAAGAGGGAGAGAAAGCTATAAAAAAGAAACCAAAAACATCCTAAAATATCACCATTTGAGTGCCATAAATGACACTCATCAAATTCCCCCAAGCTAAAATTTTGCTCATCCTCGAGCAAAACAAAAGCAAGCTAGGAAAATGAAGGGCTTATTCAAATAACGAAAAGAGAGAAAAGGGGATGATCGAGAACATACACTAACTCACTAACGTAGGAATCACGGTCACCTTTTAGCTAGTGAGAAGCCATTTTGAACCCCTAGATCGCCATAGAGGATGAGTGATGCTCTTATAAGGGTTTTCTAAAGAGCTTAACCTATAACTCTCAAAACAAAACAAGGCAAAGCATGAAAATAGAATGTAATAAAAGAGGAAAAAGGGATAACACATGCTAATGAAATGGACTTTTGCAAATGTTCAAGCACAAATGGATGAAAATCTTTCTAAACAAGTAAGGGAGTGCACATTTTAAGATATCCAAGGTTGATTGAAACATAAAATATGCTAAGCATAGAGAACTAATAAGACACAATCTACCTTCATCCCAAAAAATCTTACCACGTTCTCCCTACTAGTTTCAAATCCGCCTCTAGTGAGCATCTCACTAATTCCTCAAAGGAATCGGAAAAGAAGAGATTTAGGGCTACTCAACATCTTGACTATGCAAACCCGCTCTAGAGGCTTGACTTCTATTTCCCTCCACCGACTTGTGACTCAACCATCCGAGTTAAAAGGTCTTTAAAGGGCTGTAACGTATGGGCAAAAAGGGTAAAGGTGGGCTAAAATTTGAAATTTGGTGGTGTACCTAATTGTGAACCAAAATAATGGCTAATTCTTAGTCCCATAATCAAGTTATCACCAAAATTCAAATAAAAATACCAACATCCCCAAGCTTATTCAAAGCAACACACAAAACTATATACAAAAAGCGTAGACACGCTTCCCCCAACCTTAAATGGAGCATTTTCCTTAATGCTCTAAACTAGGAAGATAATGACTACATCAAAATATTTTTGTGCTTTTCATTTCTCTCTCTCTCTCTGTTTTTTTTTTCTTCAAAGCGTTTGCAATTGCATTTTTCTTTTTCTTTTATTCATGCTTTGTCCTCGCCTTTTTTAACTGTGGATGGCTTTTTCAACTTGCATTTGTCTTTATTCATAACATCCCAAAATACTGACCTAGGTGTATCATAGGAGGCAGATTATGCCAGCTTAGAGGGAGCATCCGCCTGATTATTCTCTAATCTGGCCACTTGACTTAGATGAAATTCATCAAGTGTCCCAGCCTCTTCTTTGACTGCCTACAAATATTTGATCATGGACGGATGGGTAGCCTCATAGTCACCATGGTACTGGCTAACGATCAATTGTGAATCAGAACATGCGTTAACTTTTCTTGCCCCTGCCACCTTGCACATGCGGATGCCGGCTATTAGGGCTTCATATTCAGCCTCATTATTTAAGGCCTGGAACTTGAATCGTAGTGCGTATTCATACTTGTCTCCTTCAGGGTACTGACATATGACGCCTGCTGTATGGTTTCGTAGTGACCCGACACTACACGAAAGGAAACCCCCCAAGACCCGCCCCTTAATTAAAGCAATTAACAAGCATAATAAACTTAATCAAACAAGACTAAGAACAAGAATTATACCTTTGTTGCGTGCTTCGCTCCCGAAGAGCTCTTATTTCAAAATCCCGAAACTGCGAGATCTCTGACGGATCGTACCCTTGACTCGACCCGAGCGTCCTAAGTCTTAAAGGTTAGTCAAGACCCGGACAAAATAAAACTATGAGTTTTACGAATCAAAGGTTTACTCTAATTACAAGAGTTTCCTTTTTAATTCTACTCAAGGTTGTTTGTTTCCCAATACCATGCGTTTGGTATTTATAGGGAAATGCACCCTTGAACTTCATTCCCCAACCAATGTCGGAGAATTAACAATTTGATAATTAATTTATTTCCAAAATAAATTAATAATTAAATTCAATCACATTGCAACAAGTGTCAAGGGGAGAGAGAAGGTTAGGTGAGGACCATGAAGAGGTGGGGGGGGGGGGGGACCATTGCCTTGCTCCCCAAGGCTTTGCCCAAGCCTTGGTCCCCACCCCTCATAAAACCGCCGTAAGCATAGGCTGCTGGGCTGCTGCCAGCTAGCACGCCAGCTAGCAGTGCCAGCTAGCCCACCCAGCTAGCACCAGCCCACCCAACAGCCTTCGCATCCCAGCCAGGCAGTGCATGCTTGGTGCTGGGCGATGCTTGGCGCTAGTGCGTGCCAGTGCTAGGCGCTAGTGCGTGTTGGCGTTGGTGCTGGCTCTCGCCTCTCTTGCATATACTCGCATAGCCAGCATGCGTGCTGCTAGCGAGCCAC